AATGCCTTGTCATGGGGATAATCTGTTTTTTAACCCAAAAACCCCCAAGATTTCTAAACCCAGTGACACTTTCCTAAAGTTTTGCACAAATTTTTTATAATAAAGTATATAGTTACTAAATACATATCAGTTATGAGCATTTATGTAAGAATAGGAAACTTATGATAGTCTGAGGCATGTTATTTACAGAAGTTAAGCTCATACAAATATTGGTTATTTTTTTTTAATTCATCAACACTTACAAATCCATTACTAGTAAATAGGATGAGATGCATTAAGCTTGAGAAAGGCAAAGAGATAAAAAGAGTGAATCCTAAGAGAACTTTAATACCAAGTTGTTGATCATTTTTTTTATGAATAATGAATAAGAATTCAGGGATGACTGGAATCAGATGATATTTGTGTTCATGGTCTTCATAGAAATTAACATGAAAAGTTTGTGAAAATGAAAGGACACACTACCTAAATGGGGGGGGGGGAGGTGGAACCATGAGGTTCTGAAGTGGTGCAGGTAGGATGCCGATTCAGAAAAACGGATAGGGCAAGTGGGAACACAACAGTTTTGTGGTACAGGCACATAATGACCAACAGTCTATGCCTTTAAACCCAAATTGATTGATTGAATAGGTTTGTAGTGGTGATGGAAAAGGAGGTTGTGCGAGTAATGTATTCTGCCCGCACAATGCTACTTCTCCACCCATGCTACCTGGCAGCCATTTCTTGTGCTTAGGTTGCTTAAGTTCCCCCAAGGAGTTCAGCCCCAAAGCTGCCATGAAGCTTCATTCATTCACCAAGAAATACAAACTTTGGCATCTTCCCTCATTCACTACTGGAACATACCATGTACTGTAATAATAAACACACACATTCCTGGTATTGAACAATGGCAAATTCTCATCCAAATAGCTTCAGAGGCAATTAACTCCACAAAATTCTACTGACCAATAAGGCAATCTTGCACATGTTATGCCTGGGGCTCCTCCAAGGTTACTGTGGATGTCCTACCCTACAGAACAATACATCTCCTTCCTTTCTGGGGTTCTGGAGGCTCTAAGGCTGCAAGAATTGCTTCATCAAATACATTCTTGAGTCCTTTCTGTGTAAGTGCTGAACATTCTACATACTTTACAGCCTTAAGCTCAGCGCTCAGCTTGTCACCTTGCTCATAGGTGATGGGCTTCTGTTTATTCTTGGCCAGCTTTTCAACTGTAGCAGCATCATCTCTCAAGTCAATCTGTGTGCCCACTAAAAGGAATGGAGTTTTCTGGCAGTGATGAGTGATCTCAGGCACCCACTGAAAAAAATATTTATGCATTAGTTAATTATCACTGATTTATTTATTATGAATTTACTTTTCTTGGTACAATAATTTATATTCCTTCACTTGTTCTATTCATAAAGCAGATTCCTTAGCATAGTCTCACAGATTATAAAGTTCTTTTTGAAGCTATGGTAGCCAATAATTAAGGCATAAATTATTCCGCTTATAGCAACATTAATGTCTAAATCAGAGTTGATCAGAATATTATGGATGCAGGTAAAGTAAATGAAAAGAACATGTTCAAATTATCGTACACTTTTTTCTTTTAACACTCCAGGCATCTCCCACAAGGCGGGTACCCGGCAAAAAGAAAACATTTCACTCTCACTAAACACTATCTTGCAGAAGGGTGCCAACACACATTCAAGACCCCCAAACCGCATCCCCACCCCTCTTCGAGAGTGCGGGCACTATTAATTCACGGGTCAACGGGATGGGAATGGGGGATAATCGGGGCTGATCCAAGAAAGGGGTCCCCCCAAATTTCCTTGGAAAAGTACTCTTCACCATTATCAAGGCATCCTTTTTTGGGGGACAGGGGGGAGAGTATGGGGAGTGAATGATTCAATATTTGGGAGGGACGTGTCAGGATGGTCTATGAGAGAGGGGGAATCAAAGAATGATGAGGGGAAAAAGTGAGTGTGCACTTAGGATCTGGGGGAGACAAAGAACTTTTTCCTTGGAGGCAAAGAGGGGAAAGTATGAGAGTATATTTAAAACCAAAAAGCTCTTAATGGGGGGTGAAGATGGGTGATGAATGTGCAGCGAGGAAAGGCTGGGGGAAGTGGAATGCATGTCTGAGGGCAATGTTGGGGTTGAATAAAAGCAGAAATTCTATTTGGAAGTTAGGGGGAGGTGCAGATTACCAAAACTGTTGTCCAAGGGGTGAGGAAGGTTTTTTGAGGTGGTTCAAAATTAGAGAGAAAAAAGCGAAACAGAAAACTTTAAGAGTTACAGTCTGTATGGAAAAAGGCGGGGTAGGGGCGGCCTAAGGGAAAAATTGGAGAGAGGGGGGAAAGGAGGTTTTGGGGCAGGGGGTTGGACTTTCCACGCACGTGAGCGTGTTTGAAGGGTGAAGGAGACAAAAGGTTTTTAATACTTTACTGCTTTGAGTGTGAGCAAAGTAACATTTATGAAGGGGTTCAGGGGAAAACCGCAGGCCGACTTGACCTGGAGATGGGAAGTACGGCCTGCACTCTAAGGGGGGGTTAAAAGTTCAGTTTAAAAAATGAGGGAAACACCCTTTTGGGAAGACAGTGAGGAGTGAATGATGGGGAAAAATTTTTTTTTTTTCGGCCCCGCCTTGGGGGGGAATCGCCATGGATAAAAAAAAAAAAAAAATATGTAAAAAAAAAAAAAAAAAAAAATACACATACAATTTGAAAAAAACTTTGTTCAGTTTTAAGAGTGCAAATGGCTCAAACATATAACTGGGAGAAACTCAACCAATTTACTAAAAATCTGTTTTTATGATTTACAGGCTGGATCCCTACCCATAATAAAAAAAAAAATACATTAGGGCCCCCTTTACGGCGTTTCTTTTTAAAGCGTTCCGCTAAACTCTTTTCAAATTATGCCCAAAACCGCAAAAACGGGCTCCCCCCACCTGACTTTCTAATAGGCACAGCGCCCCCCCCGTTTTTTTCATCTCTGTGAGATCCGTAAGCACTAAGCCAAAATTATTCTGGAAAATCCAAAATTTTAAATTTTTTAAAAATTATTCATATTTAATATTTTTTTTTTTCAACAAGTCGGGGGGCCCCTCCCCCCGGGCAGGGGGCCCAAAAAAGAAAAAAACCCCAAAAAAAAAATACTTTCCATCAATCAACACTTTTACCACACTCGCACATTATCACTGTTTTTGCGAGGTGCTCAGAATACAACATTTAGAACATACAATATAAAGATTCCCAAAAATATCCCTCCAAACTGCCAAAACCCAAACCCCTCCTTTAAAGTCAGGCACGTACTACCATTTCCAGACCCAACCACTATATAAAATAACCCGTTTCCCCCGAAATCCCTTCACTAAATATTACCCGCTCACAGTCTAACAATCGTCAGGTCCCAAGTCCCATTCGCTCCATCACCCCTATCAAAACACCTCACGCACCTGCTGGAAGTCCAAACCCCTTGCCCACAAAACCTCCTTTACCCCCCCCCCCAAACCCCTTTCGGGGACACCCCTACCCCCCCTTCCTTCCCCTATAGATTTTTATGCTTTCCATGTCATTCACTTTGATCCTTTCTCTCAAAATGACCAAACCACCTCAAAACCCCTCTTCGCCCTGACTAATACTTTTTTTAACTCCACACCTTTTCCCCATTCCCACTCCAAATTTTTCTGCATAAAATTTTACACCACACATTGCCCTTAGACGGGACATCTCCACTCCCCTCCAACCGCTCCTCGCGCGGCTTTTTACCCCCCAAGCTTAACCATAAAAGAGTTTGGTACTACTATACTTCATACATTCCCCTTCTTGCCTCCATAGATAACTTTTTTTTGACCCACATATACCTAAATGCACCACCACCTTTTTTCCCCTCACAATTCTATGATTAACCCACCCTTCATAAATCCTCCGCCGACACGTCAACTCCCAAGAAACGAAAACATTCACTTTCTTCCATACTACTCCCCCAAATTTTTAAACCAATTTTTTTTTATCTAATTTATTTGACATCCCATCCCTTTCCTTTTTTAGTTCACTTTAAAAATTTTTTACCTTTACACACATTCCCAAACCACCACTAACCTTTGCAATTTTTCTTTAGAATCTCCCCTAAGCACAGTATCACACAAAAGTAACTTCAATTCTCATTTGTTTTGATTCCCAAAATTTAATCCCACCTCTCCCCGAACACCCAGCCTTTTTCTTCCTTTACAAAACCCCATCATAAATATAAAAAACAACCAGGGGACATTACACACCCCGTCTAAAACCTACTTTTTACCGGAAGTGCTCCCTCTCTCTCCCCACCCTAACCTGACCCCACTATCCTCTAAAAACTCTTTACAGCATTTAGTAATTTACCACCATTCCATATACTTGCAACATCTCCACTTTTTGCCCTCTACCACTCTATCTATGCCTTTTCTAAATCCATAAATGAAAATAAAAATTTCCCCTCCCTTTTTACTAAATATAAATACTAAAACCTCCTTGCTCAACCGCAACCCACATTCTGTCTTGCCTCAATTTTTTCTTTTAATAACCCTACCGACACTTTTCCTGGTATACTCATAAACTTATTCCCTAAAAATTTTACAGTCTTTTTTTCCCCCTTTCCCCTTTTATAAAAGGGGACATACAGCTCCCCCAATCCCTAGGTACCTTCCCCTCTTTAACATTTATTAAACAAAAATACCACCACTCCAACACTATATCCCCCCCTGCTTTAACATTTCGTCAGATCCCTCAGTTTCCCGCTTAACCCCCTTTTATTTTTTGAATGCCTCACGTACCTCCCCCCACTTAATTCTGCTTCTTCACTCCAAAAGATGGGAACCTCCCCGACCATGCATGAAATTTCGCCTCGTTTCTTCCTTTAAAATTTAAAAGTTCCTCAAAATATTTTTGCCATCTACCAAACCCCATCTCCCCATCTCTAACTCCCCTACCTGTTTTTAACTGACAAAATCCATACTTTCCGGCTTTCTTAACTTGTTTTTCTCACCCAAAATTTTTTTCTTTTTTTCATTAAAATTTCTTGACAGTGCCCTCCCACCTATCATCTCTCTCCTTTTGCACTCCCAACCCCTCTTTTACCTTTCTTTACTCTCCAAATCCTCCCTTCTTTTAACCTTCTGCTTTGTAAAAACCTCTCATAAGAAACCTTTTTCTCTTTTATCACACCCTTTACTTCATCATTCCCCCCAACACTCCTCTTTCCTCCTCCCCCCACCCTCCTATAGCCATATTTTATATATACTCTGATAATTATACTTATGTATACCTGTACTTAAATAAACTTACATACTGTGCTGGCATGCAGGTACACATTAAAATCAGTAAGAGGTTTTATGTCTCCAGACGTCATATTAGTAATGATAATAATAATCATCGAGTCTCATTAAATGTCGTATATTACGATGATATGCATATTTTCATTAATCCATCTTTGATATTTTTTCAAAATTATATAATAAACACTATGCATAACATATAAAGATGATAAATACACCCCACAATAGAATAAATAAACATAAATATGAGATGTGGTAGCCAGATAACTTGTGCAAGTGACACCAAGAATAACATTTTCTCTAATCTAACGTAAGAGAAAATGTGTTACTGTGGGTAACTGTAGAAAATTATTCCTTTTATATGTAAGTTTATTCAGGTATACACAAATACAGTTACATAGATTATCATACATAACAGCATATGTGTAGAGAACCCAGGATAACCCAAAAAAGTAAGACAGTAACCTATTTCCATTGCCTTCACTCAGAGTGTCATTTCTTCTCAAAATGGTGTTAAATGAGAATGGGAGTGTTCTTCTTTATTTATTCTACCGTATCAATGTAGAGACAACCTGTACACAATGTAACTTGTACACAAACCAGACGTGTACACTGTTTACAAAACTTACATTCACCTGGTTTGTTTACATAACTCTGTGTCTGTCCTCCCTCATGCACTCATTCTTTCTCTCTCATTTATTCGTTTTATCTCGTTTACTTACTCCTGACCCTACATTAAGACTACAAATATTTTAAGGTAAGTAATGAGTGAACTGTATATACATTTTATCACTCTGGGATGCTTAAATATCATAGAATATGTGTGGGTGGGTTGGCCTCGTATGGTAGCTTGGCTGACTACCATACATACCACACTTGATTTTTTACAATAAATGCTACTCATCTCACCCTAGATTAAGACTACAAATATTTTAAGGTAAGTAATGAGTAAACTGTATATGCATTTTATCGCTCTGGGATGCTTAAATGTAATAGAATATTATGTGTAGGAGGGGTGGCCTGGTATGGTATCCCGGCT